GTTGGCATTGATGTCCTTTTGCTTGGCGCCGGCCCAACGGGGCTTATCCTTGCGCAGCTACTGAAGCTCAATGGCGCACATAAGGTCGTCATTGCGGCGAACAAGGGTATCAAGATGGACATCGCTAAGCAGCTGAACGCCGGGGATGAGTACATCGAGCTCGACAGGCAGAACCCTGGCCCACAGTGGGAGCAGCTGAAGAATGACAACCCGTACGGCTTCGACGTTGTAGTGGAGGCGACTGGAGTGGAGAAGCTCGCGCAGGAATCCATCAACTATGTCAGGAGGGGTGGTACGATCATGATCTATGGTGTCTACGAGAACAAGGCGCGCGTGCACTGGCCGCCATCCAAGATCTTCGGGGACGAGATCAAGGTAAATACAACTTGCGCCAGCGTCATTCGCCAGTGATGGCGCTGATACCTTGTGAGTAGGTCATCGGCTCGTTCTCGCAGGCCTTCTGCTTCCCGCGTGCGGTCGCATATCTGGACGGCGGGAAGATCAACGTCAAGGGCATGGTACGTCGTCCTTCGTGCGTCGTTCGCACGTGGCGAAAGTAACATCTCTGGCAGGTTACGGATGTCTTCAAGCTTGAGGACTACCAGGCTGCTCTGGACAAGATGAATAGCCGGGGTGCTCTCAAGATCGCCATCAAGCCGTGACGAGCGCAGCTAGACTGAGTGGAACAGGAAAGAATTTTCTGCGGCTTTGTACGCTGTAGCACCGGACATGTAATCATTTGTAGCAATACAACCAGTCGTGTATGATACCCTTCATCGTGGCCTTTGATTTGATGGCTCGAAAGCATTCTTTCGCTATCGTCTCTGGCTCTCTGACGGCGTAGAGGATTGCAGTGGCCTAGTGCTTGGAGTCGACATGGGCTGGACATGCAAGTACTATGTTTCTGCGTACTAGACCGGTCAGTCGACAGGGCCCACTGGCGGAAGTCACTATACCTGCCACACTTCCATCACACAGCTCCTACGGTCCTACTAGTAGTTCCAAGGGACAGGGAACCAAACCTCGCAATGATCCTTTTGTTTTGTCATGCACAACTTCTGCGCCGTACTCAAGTTCTCCATGAATGTGTGCATGTCTATGCGGCATGGCACAGGCAGTTGCCAAATTGGGCTGTCATCACTCAGAACTACTCCTAGTCTCCTACAACCCGGATTCTGCGAGTGCGGCGACAGAAGCTGTTCTAGAGCAAGATCACGCCTCTGTCAATATATCAATATAGATACCTAGGCATTAGAAATGCAGAGATTGACTGAGGCCAGGATGGCCGACTGCCCAGGGTGACTAAGATCCCGATCGGGCACAATACGTAGTCGCTGTCAGTCTGTGTGAAAAGCTGAAGGCGCGGTCTCCAGCCACAAGTATAGATTTGAACACCATGGCGCGTACATATGCTGGTGCCAATAAGATGCCTCCAGGTACGTCTTGAGTTAGTCTCAGTGCTCTCTAGCTAAATTTACTGACACGTTGACCAAGGCAGGGTTACGGATCGCACAAATTCATTTCAGTGTGAAAAGGAGTGCCAGTACTACACTGTTTGACTCGGAGGCGCTGTAGGCGAAGTGCAAAATCCGCGAGATCTCCGCTATTTGATACTTATGATCACGTAGGAACGACAATACCACGTCTTAGTTGATATACGTGGGAGCAGTAGGTAACTCATCATTCAGAGATCAACATGAGTCTGCCCGAGTCTACGGGGTATATCTTCGTCTTTGCTTTCACCGCCATCCCCTTCTTGCTCGACGCAGACAACGACGATCACAACCAACATGCCTTAGGGAACCATGCGCGCGCTCTACTACAGCGCTGTGAGTGCATCTGTCAGTTGGGCGTGGTGTCTGTTGACCGCGTCCCATGTTTGTCTAGCCTCGTAAGTTCGAGATTAAGCAAGTGCCAATCCCTACATGCAGTGATGACGATCTCCTTCTGAAAGGTTCGTCGCCATAAGCAGCTTGTACTCAGCACAGCACAGGAAAACTGACAAAATAGGCGCATACAGTTGCTTGCTGTGGCATGTGCGGCTCAGATAAGCTCATTGACGACAGTAAATTCATCGCCAAATTCCCTGTACGCATATGCTACCTATGCTCCGCACGCGGTGCCTTACTAGCTGCGATTATAGCTGATTCCCGGTCATGAAGCAATCGGAAAGGTAGTAGAGAAGGGCAAGAACGTCAAGGACTTTGACATTGGCGACAGGGTCGTCGGGGACATTGGCATCTCTGCATGTCTTCGGCATGTATGCACAGTATATGACGTCTAATTCATCGGTTGTGCAGTGTGACAACTGCTTCTACTGCCGGCGGGGGCAAGCAGTGCTGTGCGAGAACCTGAACGCGCGTGGCGTGACCCTGGATGGTGGATTTGTGGAGTATATCGTCTAGTGCGTATCTGTTGCACTGCAGAGTCAACTATTCTGACGAATTTGTGTAGCCACCAAAAGAAGTGCTACAAGATCCAGAACCTGACTGACGAAGAGTCGACTCTGATCGAGCCTACAGCATGTGCTATCCATGGATTAGACAAGCTGAACCCCCCTGTTGGCATTGACGTCCTTCTACTTGGCGCCGGCCCATCCGGTCTTATTCTCTCGCAGCTGCTGAAGCTCAATGGCGCGCATAAGGTCGTCATTGCGGCGAACAAGGGTATCAAGATGGACATTGCCAAGCGGCTGAACGCCGGGGACGAGTATATAGAGCTCGACAGGCAATATCCCGGCCCACAGTGGGAGCAGCTGAAGAATGACAACCCGTATGGCTTCGACGTTGTAGTGGAGGCGACTGGAGTGGAGAAGCTCGCGCAGGAATCCATCAACTATGTTAGGAGAGGTGGCACGATCATGGCACGGTGCCTATGAGCACACGGCGCTCGTGCACTGGCCGCCGTCCAAGATCTTCGGGGACGAGATCAAGGTGGGTCTAGCTCATGCAATCATTAGTCCCGAGCGAAGACGCTCATATCTTGTGAACAGATCATCGGCTCGTTCTCGCAGGCGTTCTGCTTCCCGCGTGCGGTTGCATATTTGGATAGCGGAAAGATCAATGTCAAGGGCATGGTACGTAGCCTCTAGCACATCGCTCGTACATGGCCAATACCTCTGATAGGTTACGGATGTCTTCAAGCTTGAAGACTACCAGGCCGCCTTGGACAAGATGAGCAGCCGCGGTGCTGTCAAAGTGGCCATCAAGCCGTGACGAGCGCGGCTGCATTGACTCGGAACAAGAAAGAATTTCCCGTGGCTGTGTACGCTGTAGTACCGGGCATGTATAGTCGAACCCTCCATCGCGGGCTCAAAAGGGGTTTTTTCCCGCTTACATTTTGAGGGCGTAGGAGGGATGGTGGCCCCAGTCGCTCAGATCTCAGACTATGGGTCAATATGGGCCGGATATGGGCCTCCAATTGCAAAAATTTCCGACACGGGGACTCGAACCCCGGGCTATCGCGTGAGAGGCGATAATGTTAACCCCTACACCATATCGGAGCTGATGAATAAATCTCGTATTAAATTGGAGACACCAACGTGAAAACGGCCGAATGAAGTCGAGGTGACATCATCGTTCACACGTTCACCGCTCGACGTCTCGACGCTGGCTCGATGCTAGGCTGAGTGTGCACTTCACATTCTTACCCCCGTGGCAGGTTCTTTCTAAACTTGCACTTCCTAAATATGCCTTCCGCTCTGATTCTAATTGCCGACGGAACTGAGGAGATGGAATTGTCAGTAAGATCGATGCATGGCGGCGTCGATAGCTGTTCTAACAAGTCGGTGTTCACATTATTCTCCCGGACTCAGCACCATTACCTACGACACGCTCGTCCGGGCGGGTGTGTCCTGCACCTCAGCATATGTTCCCGCTGCAGACGCGGCCTCGCAAAACACGACGAGTCTGCCGTGCGCTACAGGATCGCGCGGAATCAACATCCTTCCGGATCAGCGGTTCTCACCTCAGGCTGCTGCTCCTGTATGTAGTGCTTCCTGACTCAGGACAGGCGAGTAGCCTCTGATGCGCAAAAATGCAGGCAAACTATGATTTGCTCGTGATTCCCGGTGGCGCAAAGGGCGCGGAGACGATCGTGACGAACTCACCAGTTCAGCACTTGGTGCGTGCATACATGCAGGAGAACAAGTATGTTGGTATGATCTGCGCAGGTCCGTTGTGTGATTATACAATATAATATGCGAATGTCTCACCGCAGACAGGAAGCTTGGCGGCGAAGACGGCAGGCCTCCCGAAGCAACCGCTTACGTCGCATCCTAGTGTGAAGAGTCAGCTCGAGAGCGGTATGCACTTGGTGGCTCTGTGCTTTCTGATTATGACGTTGATTGAGAATTCCGTGATAGACTTTGAATACTCAGAAGAGCCTGTCGTTGTCTCCGGCAGGCTCGTGACAAGGTGAACGTCTACGCTAGGTACTGTGGACTTCACAGCGTGTTGACCATTTCCTCTTTTGCAGTCGTGGGCCAGGTAAGCCCAGGATTAGTTTCCAATGCAGACCATGCAAGCTGGCGAGTAGTCCAGGACTTGCTCCCTGTGTGGCCCCTCTCCATTGCGCACACTGTTTGAATGCTCCACAAATCGACATGTTGACAAATGTACTCTGTAGGCACCGCGTTCCCATTCGCGCTCACGCTCGTAGAACTTCTTTGCGGAAAGGAAAAGCGAGCACAGGTGGCGGGTCCTATGATCTTTCCACCTGAGACCTTCGCTTAACTTGAATATGCGGCTTGCACACCGTTGGAAGGTCTATCGCAGATCAAAGAGAGGTGCATTTAGGCTGACCTGGAAGGTGTATATTATATCATGGATTCTAGGAGTGCATGCTATGCAGCGACTGAGGCGATGTACAACTTTTCTCTCTTTTGCGCCCCTGCTCCTAGTACTACAGTCCTTCAGAGGTTGAACTTTGTCACTGGTCAGTGAAGCTTGTACGCAATGCAAGGTCTAATGATACATGTATTTGCAGCGCTGTTTATTGTAGCCCGTTTAGCTCAGTGGTAGAGCGCGCCACTCGTATTGCGGTTTAGCTATTCAGTTATGAATTGCTTGCGTAATTACATGGTGAGGTCACTTGTTCGATCCAGGTAATGGGCATGTTTGTTTTGTGCCCATAAAATCGGGGAAAGAAATGAAACATTCGTCCTTTTTTCATGTGCGACAGATAAGCGCCCATTTCTGAGTGAGGTGATACTCTCAATGTCTCATTAGCTTGCCGTTGCATCAAGGGAGTGGAGTTCTGATTCTAGCACTAGTGTGGATGCAAGATGCGGTACGACATCTACGAGACGACAGTCGAACATCTGTGGCACAATGCTCCGTCTTCCGCGCTTGTGTGCAGCCAGCAACGAGGGCACTTGTGCAGAGTAGCTGGATGCATGGTGATGACTGCTGTCTTGTCGCAGCCTGCAGTGCTATCAGTCAAGGCCTGTCATCGATCGCCATTGCACTCACCTGGTAGTGTGAGAGTCCTTGTGTACTGCCAAGGCCCGGCTTCCGAGGGCTGGGCGCCGACCGAAACGCTCGACACAATGCATAGCTTCTCAATAGTTTTGACTGCATGCAAAGTCTGAGTTGCCAGGCATCCATGTGACATAAACACGCAGACCTTCATTCTGTATGAGGTTGACCACATCACGAGCCGCGGGCGGAACGTCAGCCGGTAGCGTTAAAACGACGTCTGCTTCTGGAGACCGCCGGAGGTGTCTGAAGGAGAGACCCGTGAGCAGACAAAAATCAGCTTAGACAAAATCATACTTGGCCTGCCGGGCCTCCTCCAAAGCAGACAGTACCTGGGTACGAACGTGCAGAAGGTGACCCATCTTCCACTCAACCTCGGGGTCGACCCATTGCCCGCTCTGGTGAATGGTCAGGCGATGCTACCTGTCGCGCTCTGAGGTCACGCACCAGAGGTGACCACTTTTTCATGAAGACCGAGGATCCATTGCCGTTGTGGAGGGTCTCGTAGATCTCCTCAGCCAGATAAGGCAGGATTGGCGCGACGATAGATGTCATTGTGTCGAGCACCTGGGCCAAGACTGCGACCATCGCACGGCGCTCTGAGCTCTCCTTTGCATCCGCGTAAAGACAGTCTTTGCCTGTATCCACGTAGACGGGCGACAGCATGCCGTTGACGAACTGCCAAACGGAGGCGACCACTGGACGGAAACTCAACATCATCACAATCTGCGTAGTCGTGACTTACCTCTAGCGAAGTCGTAGCTAGCATAGCTTTTCAACGCGGTGTCCTCGAGCTTGTGCAATTCATGCATGACGTATCCATCAAGCTAGGGATTGACGTGAGCATCGATCAGAGTTGAATACCTGGATCCCGACTCACTACTCCCAGGCCATCGCGCTCCAGTTTGTCAGAGCACGGTTGATCCCGCAGTGCACCCAGAATGTAGCGTGCAGTAAGCCGTATCTTCAAGTACAGAGAGCGGCAGTGCTGCAATGCGTCATGACCGATCGACATGTCTTCCGTGAACTTAACGCTGGCGGTCCAGAGTCGGAGCACATCTGGGTAGTACGGGATCTGAGCCTTTGATTCGCCCCCGTTGATGATAGTCATTGGGCTGATAACATTCCCCAACGACTTGCTCATCTTCCTGCCCTTCGCGTCGAGGGTCATGCCGTGCGTGATGAGGGTGGTGTATGGAGCCTGCTGCTTTCTCTGTGCATTCGGAGCGGTGGCGACGGCGGTGAGCAGCTGGCTCTGGAACCACCCACGGTGCTGATCCCTGCCTTCCAAACAGACATCCGCCCCAAATCGGCGACCGGTGACCGATTCTGCCCCGTCTGCGTATAGTCCCTCCAGCATTGACCACGAGGAACCACTATCAAACCAGACGTCCATTGTGTCGGTGCCCTTGCGCCAAGTCTCTTCCAGTTGCTTGTCATCCATGCCGTCGTGCAGTGAGGGTGGAACAAACTCCACCACAGGGCCTTCCCACCAGTAGCTGGTCCGCATCTCCCGGAGAATGCTAAGGATATGGCTCAAGCTCTCTCCGTCGAGAACAGCGCGGCCAGAAGGAATGTGATATAACGCGGGAATAGGTACACCCCACGCACGTTGTCGCGAAATGCACCATTCTGAGCGGTTGCGTACGTCTATCTCTAGACGGCTGTGCGCTGCCATGAACGGATCAGTGTGGTACAGGTGGAATCGCGAGCAACATACAGCCTGCCGGATGTGATGAAATGCTCTGAATCGCCGCGAGCGCGTCACCCTTTATTCTGTCCGTGTTAGCGAACCACTGCGACGTTGCACTGAACAATATGACGAGGGAGCGGGGAGTAATATATCTCTGTCAGCGGGGCAGAGAAATGCATAGCAGAAACTTACATTACGATAACGGGTTGGTCCGTTCGCCAATCGTACGGGTAGCTATGTCGGATCCGCTGAAGCTTCCGGAGAGCACCAGCCTTTTCAAGCAGCCCCACGATCGCTTTGCCACCGCTGGTCAAGACTTCCTGCCCGACAAGGTCTTTTGCAGCTTTGGGCCCGACAACGCCTGCAACGCCTTCGGAAAAGCATCCTGTTATGTCCACGTGGCACAACAGACCACCCAACGAGGTATTCGATGATGAAGACGACAGAAGACCGAGCGAGCGGAAGACGTTGTAATCTTCATCACCATGCGCCGGAGCACAATGAACGAGGCCAGTGCCAGTCTTCGAGGTCACATGTGAGGAAGGTACGATGGGCAATGGTTTGGCGTGCTCAGCGTCGTCGTCGAAGGTAGAGAACAACGGACGGTAAGTCGCACCAACGAGGTCGGACCCTGTTGAATCCATCAGTCAATATGATGTTTATTTTGGTAGAACCTCCGACCTTGAAATTCTGCTATAGGGATCTTGGAAATCGCGTCCCCAAGGCATTCAGCTAGCGCAGTCTCTCGTTCAATGGCGAAAATGTCTACCGGAGAAGCCGGGTGATCACTAGTTGCTGCGGCCTTGTACATCATCTCTGGATTCACAGCAATACCCTATGCGAAGAAGTTCCAAGAGAACAAATGACTGGGTTCAATAGTAACTTACCATATTCGCCGTGAGTGTCCACGGGGTCGTGGTCCATACCAGAAGGCGCACTTTCCGCCGACCATTGACGAGGGCTCTCAGAGCTGCGCTCATATTGGGGCTGTTTGGGTCCAGCTCGAAGGCAACGTAAACAGTGTAGGAGCTATGCTTCTCGTTGTATGTCAATTCTCCTTCTGCCAATGCTGTCCGTGAAGACGGAGAGTAGTAAACAGGGCGAAGCTGCCTGTATATGAGTCCTATTGCAAGATAAGCGGTACATATGGACAAGCAAAGCATCGCTCACCTTCCTCAACCATCGTCTTGAAGATATCCAACTGTCGCATCTCGTAGTCATGGTCTAAAACATATCAACCTCACGAACATCTGTGGGACCGGGTCACTCACCCAATGTACGGTATGTTGACTCTGGTGACCAGTCAGCCATGATGCCAAACTGACGGAATTGTTCCTGCTGTTTTGTGACTTCTTCCCTAGCGAATGACTCGGCCTCCGCTCGTATCGCTCTTGGTAATAGATCTTCTGCGCTTTTCTGCAGCTGGTCAATACGAGGGATGATGGACTAGTCCCACTTGCTCACTCGCAGCTTCTGCAGTGCTTTGTTCTCAATGGGCAAGCCGTGACAGTCCCAGCCAGGAATGTAACTGAGACAGTAATTGATCAGCTGGGGCGGGTTATGCTGCGAGGAATGGCCCGGATACGGTTCGACCAGGTAAACTGCATGTGCCATGAAGACTCCTACCCTCTGGAGGTGTATGCCCCAAGCACCGAAATCGCTATACGCACAGAAGATGACGCATATAGCGACACCCCATGCGTGCATACACACTTTTACAAAGCCGCACGTCCGTCGTGTGGTTAATTGGAAACGTGATGCACGAACAGAGCGCAGTCGGAGCGTCTGGTCGGCCGACCGGTCTGGCACCGATCCCCCTGAGGGTTTATGCAGTATGCAGGAGACTGGCAGCATCTCACTGCTGTGCCAGAAGCAGCACAAACTGTACTCACTGTACGCGATGCCCTATCAAGACATGATACCGGTTGATGATGTCTTTGAGAATCTTATTCAGGGCATGCCCTGCCATGTGTGAGGACTCGCGGTAAGTGGGCAGGGGAAGTGGGCAGCTGGGGACAACGTACCTATATGTAGATCACCATTGGCATATGGAGGGCCATCGTGTAGCACAAAAAGTGGTTTGTTAACTTGCTTCCACTGTGTCATGTGAATTGAGCCCGTCCATCGCTTCAGCGCATGACACGGACCTGCTCTCGGTACAACACGTCGCACGTCTTCTCCCGCAGCCTCTCGTATGTTGATTTATTTACTTGAGAGATGAAGCTTGTTTGCGGCAAGAGTAAGCTATCCGTATACGCGCTGACATCTTTGCTGATAGTACTTTTCCTGCCGGGCGAATGAGTAGGAGTAGTACCCGAGAAATGCCGATAAATGGTCCGTTTCAGTCGATGTTTCGAGCTAGCGTTCCGTGCTGTGAAGCCACTTTTGAGCGACGTTTTCATGTCCTCTCGCCCACTAGGAGAACTCAGACAGCAAGGAGCGTTTGAGACACCGAGACGGGAGCACACTAACACGTCCTCGGACTGAGCCACAGGACAGATACTCGCGAATAAGCGCTCGGACGCGTCTGGCCCACGTGAGAGACGCGTTCGTGAAGTGCGCGCTATTTATCTTTATTTGCCTGTGGCTTAAACTGAACAAAACAGCGTGGCTGAACATCCGAAACCTACCACTTCCTGCCGTTAACGTATCTCGTTGCCAATCCTTTAATTCTACTCTTCGCATGTCATCGAACATACCAGTGAGTGAGATAGATTAGCTGCTACTCTTGGGGTACTCAAATCCTACAGACACGACGCGTAACGCGAGGGACTCGTGTAATCGTCCACAAGGACGAGAACGCGGCCCAACGCCCTGCGCGGATCACTACCCGAGCGAAACCCCCATCGACGACTGCGAACGCCCCGGAGAATGCAAAGCCAGGACTGGGGCGCATCACCGCATCAACCGCCGCAACGCGGGCGAAAGCAGCGACGTCGAAGAT